ACAGGTTTCAGAAAAATACCGGTAAGTATAATTCAACATTATTTCCTCGGTTATCATTGAACTATTTCTATTCCTTATTATGATTGATTGATTGTTTGTTTTTTTTTCACTCATATAGAGACGTCACCATATACCGGTGAAGGGCTTCAAATTTTGACCTTTACTCGGCACTCAGGGCCATTGAGCAGTGAGGGATCTTTATCGTGCCAACTCCTGCCGTGACATGGGACCTCGATTTTTAAGGTCTCACCCGAAGGTCCCGCAACTTTCACTTCAAAGTGCCGAGCGCATGGCGAAGGAACAGTTACTACCCATTTTTTTAATCGACTTAGGTCAGTCGCGGCCGAGATTCGAACTCAAGACCTCCCGATCACGGAGCGAGCGCTCTACCGCTTGAGCTACCGTGAACGGTCCTATGCCTTATTTACGGGCATCGAGCATCGAAATGTAAATAATATCATCAACAACAACAACGAAAATAATAATAATAATGTATTTGCAAATCAGGTATTTCATCTACGTTCATCACATAAATATTAGTTTTATACTTTTCGATATAATGCTTTACAAAATCTGTATTTTCAATAATTGAGCTTACAAATTAAAAAGAACAGCTGCTTGATAAAGGCACACAATAATGATAATTTATCAAAAAAATCTTAAGAAGAAACCTATAATTAATTGCGTAATTTACTATAAAACCATAATTATAACAGGTACATGTACTTTTCATTCGCCTTGCAATATTATCTTCCACTGATATGGCCTCAAAGGTCCATTTAGAAACGTTGATGTTTTTCTTCCCCAGGACCCATCTTTCACATGCAGAGATGTAAAAATTATGGATTTTAATACCAACTTGATGTTTTAACATGAATTAAATATGGAGAAAATAAACAGTATTCAAGCTCAAAGTCATGCAACCAATACAAAACGGGAGCAGAGCTAACAAGGACCTCTAAAAAATCAGAGTTGGATCGATGCCATGTGAGCATCCTCTGCCCACCGGTCACTTGTCATGATCGGGATAAAACGGGAAAAAATTCGTAGACAATTCAGTGTATAAATAATGGGCTAACAATTAGTAAAATAAACGTAAGACAGCATTCAAATTAATAATAGATTGCATTTGCTAACAAGATCATTGTATCGACTATAGTACTTGCGAAATGATGGCTTCAAACGAGATTGTTGATATCATTGTTTCATTAACTTGTTTGTCAATTGCTTGCCTCGTTTTAAAATTTGCTCGTACGTGGAGCATGCTCTTGCGTATCGAATCAACTGAGAGACATAAACCCCATATGCAGGTGATAAGGGAATATTGCTACGTAAGTTAGAATGATTGATTGATTGTATGTTGATTTACGTCCCATTTGAGATTTTTTAACTCATATAGAGACGTCACCATATACCGGTGAAGGGCTTCAAATTTTGACCTTTACGCGGCACTCAGGGCCATTGAGCAGTGAGCAACCTTTATCGTGCCACGCCTGCCGTAACACGGGGCCTCGGTTTTTAGGGTCTCATCCGAAGGACCCGCAACTTTCACTTCAAAGTGCCGAGCGCATGGCTAAAGAACAGTTACTACCCATTTTTTTCGACTTAGGTCAGTCGCGGCCGAGATTCGAACTCACGACCTCCCGATCACGGAGCGAGCGCTCTACCGACTGAGCTAATAAGTGACGATTGAAAAGTTGAATTTCAATCTTTCTTAGCATACATGAAACCTTTTCTAAGAGATAGAAGGAACACAGATTTAAGTTACAATATCATTTGATTAGATCTACATGTACCATGTGAGATTATTATCAAACAAAATATTATTTTGATTACAGTCATTAAAAGATACGTAGACATTTGTTACATGTATTTTTTTTATTTAACGTCAAATTATAGCAAGATTTGGAAGACATATTTTAACACTAAATTCAAATTATTTGAATAAAAAAATTTAATTACATTAATGATACCGTATATCATGATATGCATGTATAAAGATTATTTCAAAATTAAAACTGCGATAAGGGTACCATGGAGAAAGGTCAAATTTAATAAACTACAGTGAGATATTCCTGTTTGGATAGGGTGAGATACATGTAAAGAAATTATCACATCTCGAAACAGATTGTTGTTAATATGAGAATGCATATTTAGATAAAATAGAAATAGTTTTGGATACAAGTATAATTAGAGATGTAAACATTTTTTTTAAATGTAAATGTTTTTACAATTATTTCACTATCTTAGGTTTTAGAATTATTGAAAGCTAATTGTACAAAGTTGTATTAGCCAGTGGTGTAACCTTGATGTAGACGATACGAAAAATCTATATCAATTTTATTCAAAGTATAAAGTACTTAAGTTTAACAGCAAGACAAGTTCCTGGTCCACCCCGACACTAAAATATAAGATATTTGAATAAAAGAATTTAAAAAAAATAATTCAAATAATTGATATAGATCTGAGTGATTGTCTTTTCTTCTTCTTCAAAAACTGAAGAACAAGGATGTCAGTGATAACATGTTAAGGAGAAAAAACCCTGTATATCTTGGGAGTCTATTTTTAGAAAGAGTTTTGAATTCACATAGATGTTGACTCATTTATCATTAAATACTTTTCTGTTATCTGTTATCTGTTAAAACATGAAAGAGGAACAAGATAACCTAAGTATTTTGAGAGTCTTCAGATCTGAACTAAAAACAACAACATGATTTAAGTGAGTTCCTATTCTACTAGCCTGCGTTAAATTTGCGACCAAGTTAACGCACTTTGAAAAAATATATATTTCTTTTCAAAGTGCGTTAATATCGACCATATTAATGCACTTTGAAAAAAAAATGTGCACGGCCTGGTCAATATTCGTAAAAATGTTAGGTTTGACAAAAAATTATTTGAACCTGGTTGGATAACTTTTCGTGATGACGTCACTTCAGGATCTGGGGTATAGACTGTTTAAAGATTTTAAGAGGTTGTCTTGTTCCCAAAGGTTCTCGTAAATGTTATGAAATGGAAATGGGTCTTAGAAATAATTGAAGAATGATTGTTTAATAGCACAATTTTGTTTCTTTTTTTATTTTATCCAGTCTGTAATATTTTCGGTAGATGTAGGGGTCTATAAGTGATTTAAAGCATCGCATTTCCTTAGGGAAAAGGGAGCAATTATGATTTTTCCATACCATTCTTTTCTCTCTCTCTCTCTCTCTCTCTCTCTCTCTCTCTCTCTCTCTCTCTCTCTCTCTCTCATCTGTCAATCTACCATATTCATCTATCTATCTATTGTGAACATGCATGAAGCAATGGTTGACTCATTTATTTGATAGTAAGAAAAATAAACCCTAGCCTCATTACTCATTCGAGTGAAAATTTTTTACCTCTTTCACTAATAAATTTTTCTAAAATAAATCTTATATGCAAACCTAATGCAGTCAGATTACTTCTAAATCTGTTATTTGATATCATAAAAAGGCTAGACATATCATATAGCATGTCTTAATACCCTGTTAATGCGTTTTTTCTGAGGAATGATTGTGGATACATTTTGAATAAAGGTTATGCAGCTCGGAGGAATATTAAACAGACAACTAACGGGCTATATAGCTAACATGATCAGTAGTTTTTCAAAATCCCATGTAGTTTAACATTTTAAATTCTAAAATCAATAGTTGAAGATCTGAATGAAATTTTTATTTCAAAGGTACAAGAACTACATCGCTTACCAGAATAACTGTCCTGCGGTTATAAACTTAATTCATCAGATTTTCGAAAGAAATATAACAAAATAATGCTGTTTATTACTAAAATCTAAGTCCAGAATTTTTTTTTATACATATTTTTTCAAAGTGTGTTAAGTTTCTCCATGGTTAAAAAATGTTGATGTACACTCTTAACGCACTTTGAAAAAAATTTCAAAGTGCGTTGCTTTTGTCCCAAATTTAACGCACTTTGAAATTTTTTTTCAAAGTGCATTGATTTTTTCCCAGTTTTAACGCACTTAGGTTTTTTTTTCAAAATGTGAGTTGCCACCGTGCAGCCTTGGTTTCATCCAAAGCAATTTCATTTTTTTTATTTTAGGACTCCAAAAGTTTCTATTCCCAAAGAAATAAAAATTATTCAATCTACAGCTACCTTAGAGATCGTATAATCATTTAATTGAGCACAAAGCATAAAATTTGAGAAAGGGGGCCAGTGTGCGATTCTCGACCTCCGTGAGTGTCAAACCTAAGACGATAAACACAGAGTGTTTTTTTTCTACGCCTAGCACCCGTTTAAGAAGTAAAACTCACGGGCCGAATGGACACGTTAGGTTAATATTTTTTAGGTTGCCCGTTACCAGTATTATGAACTTAATTTGCTTAAGGACATATGGTATTCAATGCATTCAATGTATTATAATAATTCGTAAAACTCTTTGTACGGTTTTTTTGTTGCTACAGCACATATTTATCATAAAATCAAATAAAATTTAATGCATAAAAATTATATCATTGAATTCCTAAAAAAAAATGGACACAAATTTACTCTAAATTTACAATGTAACAAATTAATTCGAGTTTAAAACAATGAAATACAAAAAAAACTATGATAGAAATGTTAACACAGGCACTATCTTCCGATTTTGTGTATCGTATGACCTCCAGTATTAAATTTGGACGAAATGTTTATGTATTCTTTAATATGTCACATCTTAGAGCTACAATGACGTGTCAATTTTCTAAGGCTAATTTTTCCTGATATCACAATCATATTACAATATTCCGGTGAGTTTGTTTTCATATGACAAAAAAGACAGTCTATATGTATTTGCCTAATAAAATCACAGATAATATTCGTTTTTGTCATAATAGGACTTAAGGTCGTGAAAGTGAAAGTTTACTTCGCAGAACGTTTAAGCACAATCTCAGACATATCCAAACGTAGAGGCGGGCAAGCTAAAGTTTATGAACAGTACATGTATATAAAGTGGGGAAAATTTTTGGATCTTATTCAGATACCAACAACAAGGACACGTGAACAGTTAGAATTCAAGGCGAAAATGTTTTTATTGCTAATGTCCCTTCACCTTACTATAGCTTCTATGACTGAGTTGACAACAAGCAAAAATTTCACCGGTTTGGAGGAGCGTATGTCTAAACTAGAAGGTCGCTTGAACGTTACAGAGCGCGCTTTGGGTCGGCTGCTGACTGGGAGAGAGAATACTAATATGTCGTTCCTGGATGTTCTCACTCTTAGATCTGGTAAGAATACTAATTAGATTAGGTAAATTTTAGTTATATACATGAAGTTCAGGGGACATCAAGGAATTTTCGTTTGCCTGGGAGGGAGAGGAGTAAAAAGCAAGTACCAATGAAAAAAAATTGGAAGAAGTAATTTAATCTCTAATAGCAAAACTAGATCATATTCAAAAAGCAAAATAATAAACCAATAAATGAATAAAATAATGAAAATAAAATATAAATAAATAAATAATAATAACAATTTGTACGAAAAACGTCAGTCAACATTCGATTTAACGCTATATTGTATTTGCTGACACGATCATTATATCCACCATGTTGACTTTAAACGAGACAGTTGATATCCTTGTATCAAAACGAATCATGATCGTAGAAACTGGGGGGGGGGGGGGATTATTTTGCCGATATGTATTCAGAATGCTATAGAAAACAAAGTTACTTCATGCTTGTGCTCCCTCAGTAATAACGACTGATGATCTTTTTTCCTTCATAGTGCCCCCTCCCCTAACTGAAAATAGTTGGTTTTGCCTCCTAAACTGAACTTCATTTTTACGGACCTGTGAATTGCAGTGGTAGGATATATAAACATGCCTATGAAAGCTAGACCCAGAATTTGTCATTGAAGCAATAGGGAAAATGCAAAACGCATATGTAGTGGGCGGATTTGTTCATTCCTCTGAAATCTGTTGTAAGTCGTGAAAAGAAAAAGAAGGAAAACCCCTGAGATTATCAAAAATGGATGATAAAAGAAAGAAACTCTATTGATGCTGTTAAACTGCACTATGCAAACGGAAAATCAACTAAACTGATGAATAGCATTTTGAAAATGAAGTACCAAGAGGAGAAAAATCTTTCAGAAAATAGATCATTACAAACTGTCCATCCTTGAGCAATATTGGACTTTAGAAACAAAATAAGATTGTTGACTGGAAACACGACACCCATTTGGAAAATGACTATTCTTATAAATAAAATAACATTAAATAGAAAACTGCCATCGATTTTCGTGTTTTAAAAATACCCGTTTTTATTTCAACTATAATACTGATAAAATTGTATCGTTTTGTTCTTTACATTTTTGCAAAATTTCCTTCTATAAACACTGCATAATGCTTATTAAACCTTAATGTCTAGATATGTTTGTTGAAACACCCTGAACATGCGGTGCATTTTTTTTTAGATTAACTACCTTCAGACAGTGCGGTACATTTTTAGGTTGCTAACATTATAATGTGTACGCTATAACGTACAAATTTAGACTGCTGAATATTTTGAATGATTTAAAGCCTCTGAATGAAGCCATCGTCACCTTACTGTATGTAAACATTATTTCTTCAATAGGTATTCTGGATGATCAATCAACACCAATCCTTTTTTCTGCTTATAAGTCCTTTAGTGAGAGTGATATAAGCAACAAAGTGACCATAAGATTTGATAAGATCTACATTAACAGCGGAGATCATTATCACACAGAAGATGGTATCTTTATTGCTCCACTCACAGGCATCTATCTATTTCATTGGACAATAGCCACTGGAGGTAGTTACTTTGCAACCCAACTGATGGTAGGTGGAAAACCCCGTGCTTCAAATCTTGTACCTCACGCAGGTTCGGGAGGTTCTAGTTCAGCAATGGTGATGATAAACGTGAACAGAGCGGTGCACGTCTGGATTCAGATTTATGGCGATAATGAACATGTCTTCGGAGGTAGTATTGGTGTTGGAAATAACCACCAGTCGACGTTTTCCGGAATCCTCCTGAGGAAGACTTAGACAATTGTAAAAGATAATTGTTGTTTAAATGCATCTGAATCATTGCATGTAAAATGCATTTTTAGTGTAAAGGAAATGAAGCAAATTATGTCCTCACTAAGTCTGTTTTGACCTAATTGTTTCAAGTTTGAATATGAATTAAAATTACAATATTTTCCTCTATTTCTATTTTACATAATAATGAGAGTCGCCCACGTGGCGCAGTGGTTATAGAATTTGCTCTAGAGTCGCGAGGTAAGAAGTTGATCCTTACGTCGCGGGTTCGAATCCACTTCGGGTCGTGGAGACCTTTTCTTCGGATGAGACCGTATAAATCGAGGTCCCGTGTCGCAGTAGGTGCTGGCACGAAAAAGATCCCTCACTGCTCAGTGCCGAGTATAGGTCAACATTCGCAGCCCTCCACCGGCAGGCAAGTGGTGGCGTCTCCTTATCAGTGAAAAATTCTCGAGAGGGACGTTAAACAACAAACAAACATAGTAAAGAGAATTGTAATATTTACACCGAAAAGAGTTCCTTTTTCCTTTTTCATTAAAACAAAGTATGAGAAAGCAGAAGACACAATAATTCAAATAAACATGCATATTTCTAAGAAATAAACAAACATAATTAAACAATTGTTGTAATTTTTCTGAAGAGATCTAGACATTAATTTTTATCCTTACAGAAATGAAATTTGAAGTTACAAATATGATTATAAAGAAATGTATTTGTTAAGAAAATTATTCAAAGAGGGTAATTCTTGGGGGAAATGTGTTTGTGAAACACGGATGTCCCCGTAGGGCAACTCATGGCCAAGATAATTTTTTCAACAGTATGTCAAATTCCAGGGTCAAGGTCACGAGGTTAAATATGGTGATAAATAAAGTAAGTTCTTGTCAAAAGAGATACCCATCTGAAATATGAAAACTCTGCAAGTAAATGTTATGGCCAAGCTGAAGTTTTTCAAGTAGGTCAAACTCCAAGATCAAGGTCACCAGATAAAAAAATATGCTGGTACCCATTGCCCTAGCATCAAAAGTCTTGGTCAAGGTTCAAGTTCTTCAGAGGTGAAACTCCAAAGTCAAATGGTACAAAATGTTGGAACCCAAAAATGTCTTATCAAAAGATATACACATAGACATATGAAAGTCCTACCACTAACCATTTAAAAGTTATTGCCAAGGTTAAGATTTTGCGGACAAACGAACAGACAGACTAACAGACAAAAACAAAAACTATATTCCCAAGAATAGCAGGGGTATTAAAATACCTGTGGTTAAGAAAACACACAATTTGTTTTTCTTATTGCATATTTCACAGTGAAAAAAATAAATTATTCAAAATAAAAAAAGGAATGCAAAAGTTCTTCAATGATTGCACGCATTTGTAAAAATGTTAACAGAAGTTTTTAAAAGAATCTTAACGGCAATGGTGAGGCATTGTAGAGGATATAAAAAAATTATATTTCTGCAATCTTGGAATTTTAGTGTACCAATAACAAGACAAGCCCCAAATCCACCCAGACACTAAATTATTCCTAACAATATGCATTTAACAGCGGTATTTAACATCATCTGGCTTGCTAGCGGCGACCCTCATGAATGGAATTCAACCATGTTCGACAAAAATAAATCTTGACGGAAGAATATAATATATGTAAATGGAAGAAAATGAAATATAATTCATACAATTGATATGGATGTACATGGATTTTCAAAAAATTGGAGAACAATCTTCAAGTATTTTTATATCAGTGATTACATGTTCAGGAACAAAAGAAATCTATAAATCTTGAGAGCCCATTTCAGATGAACGGTTTTAATATCACTTGAATTTGCTTTAATATCTTAACGCTGACTCATTCATTATTGAAACACTTCTTTTATCTGTTAAACAAAGAGGAACAAGATAAGCTAAGTATGTTAAGTGTCTCTTGATAAAAATCAGATTTAAACTAAAAACAACGTAAAATAAGTGTGTTCCTCTTTCACTAGCCTGCCTGAAGGGAAACCAAAAATTGCAAATTAATTCATACATTTTATGCTCTGTTATAATTGAAACAATAAAACTCACTCCTTTTTTTTATTGAAGATGTCGAATTATTCATTAAATTGAGCACACGGCATAAATTTAGATTGGAACGCTCTGGTTCGATTCTCTTTCCAGGTATATTGTGAAACTTAGCACTGTGATTATAAACATAGTTTGTGATTATTTCTTCATATACGGAAGTCACTTGTCATCGTTGGCACGATAAAGAGTCATCGCTGCCACGGCCCAGAACTTCATGTGAAAATTTGTGAAACTTCACTTGAAGAGGTGAGGTCTATACATGAGTGAAAACTCAAAGACAGGGTACAAAAACATACAGTAATTAATACAAAATTATTATCAATGAAGGATTTTAAGGAATGTCTGGTAATTCTTTTCCTGAAATTATCAGCAAATGTATAGCCAACTACACAAAACGAATAATTATTGAAATATTTTCAAAACAACAGATGAATATTACATCATCATGAACCTAAGCATTGAATAGGGGTCTAATTGAATCTTAATGTTTTTTTTTAATATTTCATATCGTGGAGCTGCAATTAAGTATCAATTTTCTACCGCACCCTTTTCTGATACCACAATCATATTACAATATTCCGATAAATTTATTTTCATTTGACAAATGAGACAGTCTATATGTATTTTCCTTTTAAATCACTGATAATATTCCTTTTTCTTGTCATAATCTGAAAAAGTCATTCTCACAACATTTTAGCATCACATAAAAAAATTGTAATGTATAGTGGCAGGCGAGCTAAAATAAAGTTTATAATCAGGATATAAAGTGGTGAACAGCTTCGATCTAATTCAGATACAAACAACATAACGTATACAAGATAAGTCGAAAATGATATTTTTGTTATTGTCCCTTCTCCTTACTATGGCTTCGATCTATGACTGAGTTGATTCTTCACCACAAGTATGCGTGGATCCAACATGTCTTCATAATGCATTTCATGGCCTAGCACTGTAATGCTGAATCTCAACTTTAACTTCCGCTTGCATGAAGCTTCTATGTAGCATTGATCTAGTTTTGAAACAGCAAGGGAAGTTTCAGAATATATTACATAACTAGCATTTAATCAACAAACAAAGGAAGCATTCAAATCAGCAAGCTAGGGAATAAAAAAATAAGCATTGATGCAATGACAAAAGTAGTTCTCTGCACTAAAACCATTCATAAAATTATCTTTAAAAATTGATGCCTCCTGTGCCCAATATCCAAGCAAAAGAATGGGACTAAGCTATTAATAAAATAAAATGCATGATTTTTCTCCTGGACACCGGAAAAAACCTTTTTCCAAATTAGCAAAATAAGTGGTTCCTTGATCCTTGCTTCAGACTCCAAAGTGAGGCTAAATTAATTATATTTTGTAAGGAAAACACCTCTTTAATAAAAATCTTCATTAAAAGTATTAAAGGTATTATTGGACGTAAGGCAAGTCTTGTACATCATTATATTGAGCAGATACCCTCTTCAAAAATTCACGTTTCCTGGTACCAGGGGACAGGCCCTAGCATGCATAGGGCTGGGCGAAGTTGGTCATTAAAATATAATACAGTATGCCTTTTTTATATTCCTACTCTTCAAAGTTCAAATTTCTTGACATTTTTTGTCACTTAGTGATTTAATTTAAATATAAGGATGTCCTTTTAAAAACGAAAATGCCTTCTAGTGAAAACATAAGGATATCTCACAAGAATTGATGTTCTCTTGTGACGTCATTACCCACAAAATAGTCTACTTAACTTTAGTTTAATGTTTTTATCTATAGTTTACTACAGTGTCAGTGTCTATTTCTGTAATTCAAGATATATTTTTTACGATGAAGTGGCCGCAGGCTTCTGAAAAGAATCTCATACAGGTCATATTATATTTCAGTCCTTGCGGAAATTCAGTGAAGTCAGTGAATTTCGAGATTTGGTAAGTGAAAATTTAAAATAAAAAGTCCGCCGTGTTTATATGCAAATATTTTTTTAAGCCTGTCTTTTTAAATAAGCCATCGCAATCAGAATAAGTAAAAGGAATTTAGTATCCAGCTGAGCTGTTGTACTTTTTTTTGAAAATGATCGTAAGAGGAGAGTGAAAGACGGTCATAGGACTAAAGAATAATTTTTCAATTTATTTTAAATCTAACACAATGGCGCGTGGGTTGAGGGGGGAGGGTGGTACCAGGCACGCGCCCTTAATAAAGAAAGACTCCTTTTTAAATTGTGCTCCTAAACACATGTAAATTACAAGTTGTGTAATTAACTCTATAAAAACACCTACGATTATAACTCATTTATTACTCTGTAATTAATCAAGTTAATTGATAAGTAAATATTCAATTTTTCTGAAAAAAAAAAATCATTTCAATTAGAATGAGAATTATTGATTCAATGTCAAGGACAAGATAAAGGCCCTGCTGAATTTTCGTTTGAAAAACATCCAGTTTTCTTACGGTACATGTATATTAGATGAAATGCCCTTGATAATTGTTGCAAATATAATCATACATTTCACAAATTTTCTTTTTTTTTCAGATTTAGAACCCAGCAGGCATGTTAGGACTAAGATGTGTACTAAGATCGTCTTAGGAAATATCTTAGTCTTAAGTCAGTTTCTGGAAGCTTTCCTAAATCTTGGACCTCGTCAACATAAATCATATCCTAAGATCATCCTAAGTTTGTGGTTATGGTTATTTTTCTGAGCATCGCAAGTTAAGCGTTCCTCAACAGTCCGCATATTAGTTGACATGGCCGTAGGAACAGGGAGTGGGGGGGGGGCACGGGAGCTGTGCCCCTCCCCCAATAATTTTGTCGATATTTAGAATATTATAGAAAGCATAGCTACTCTATGCTTGTGCCCCCTCAATAATAACGTCTGATGACCTTTTTTTGCTTGTCAAGGAAGATGATAGTGCCCCCAACTGAAAATATATATGGTTGTGCCCCCCCCCCCACACACACACAAAAAAAAAACAACCTGATGGGCCTGGCTGAGGAATTACACAAATCATTTTTTCCACAAATGTTTTCTCAAGCCCTCTTCTTTGCAATATTAGTTACAACGTT